ACATAGCTCCAAACCAACCGCCGACCCCTAGAGGCAGCTTCCTGGACGACAGGGCTAGTCAGCCCCTTGCCTCTCTAACTCCTTGTTTCAAACCAAGCCCAGCAACACAGAGACTCTTAACTTTAAGAACATAAGAATCAGGCTAATGGCCCATCCAGTCCCACACTCTGTGTCACACAGTGGCCAAAACCCAGGTGCCATCAGGAGGTCCACCAGTGGGGCCAGAACTCCAGAAGCAATGAGAATACAGAGCATCACTGCTCCAGACAAGAGTGTTCCATCTATAGGTAATGGTTTCCCTTGCTCGAAAGCCAGTCGAATCCGACTGTAGGGGTTGTTGCTCATCCCCATTTCCAAGCCGAAGAGCCAGCGCTGTCCAAAGACATTTCCGTGGTCATGTGGCCGGCATGACTAAACGCCGAGATGCACGGAACGCTGTTACCTTCCCACCGAAGTGGTGCCTATTTATCTACTTGCAATTTCTTGCTTTCGAACTGCTAGGTTGGCAGGAGCTGGAGCCAGAGACAGTTCATTCCGTCACGCAGCACTTGGGTCTCGAACTGCTGAGCTACTGACCTTCCAGTCTGCAGCTAAGCAACCACCGAGCCACCGCTGCCCCTGTTCCATCTATACCTTGTGACTAATAGCCACTGATGGACCTCTGCTCCATATGTTTATCCAATTCCCTCCTGAAGCTGTCTATGCTTGTAGCCGCCGCCACTTCCTGCAGCAGTGAACGCCACGTGTTAATTACTCTTTGGATGAAGAAGTACTTCCTTTTATCTGTTCTAAGCCTGCTGCTCAGTTTCATTGAGTGTCCATGAGTTCTTGTATTGTGAACTTTACCCAGCCTCCTGGCTTACTATGGCAAAGTAAGATGTTACTGGGCTTACACTTACCTGGATGCCACAGAACACAGAACCTGCTTAGTGACCCTGATATTTGCATCAGAACCAACCATATGTTAGTGGCAACGTAACTCTGCACCTACTCAGAGGCACTGTCTTTCATGAGCAGACTGAAGAGGTGGTTTAGGAAAGAGATTTCCACGTGGATTTGTACAGATGCATTTGGCTGAGTGCTGCTGAAACAGGAGTAATGGTGTTCTCAAAAACAAACTTTGGGCCCCAGAACAGCAGGTCTTGACCGTAACACTGAACATAGACTAGGTGTATCATCTTCCCATATAAAACAGGAGGAGGAGTGGAAGAATTGGTTTTATATCCCACCCTTCACTACCTGAAGGAGTCTCGGAGAAGCTTACAAGTGCCTTCACAACAGACACCCTTTGAGGTGGGGGGGGGCGAGAGAGCTCTGAGAGAGTTGTGACTGACCCAAGGTCATCCAGCTGGTTTATGTGGAGGAATGGGGAATCCAACCCCATTCTCCAGATTAGAGTCCGCCGCTCTTAACGACTACACCAAACTGACTTCAGAAGGGTGGGTGGCACATTCAGACCCCCTTACCCAGAGGAAACAAGGGGTGCAAACAAGTTCCTAGCCCTTATGGCTACAAAGATAAGCTCAAAAACATTATGTACTATGTCTGATGAAATGCCAGGATTACTCAAAGGTCTGGTGAACAAGACCTTGTAAAGGTCAGAAATGAGCTTCAATATACCCTCCCCCCCAAGAGAGCTTTGTGCTCCGCTAACCAACATCTACTGGTTGTCCCTGGCCCTAAGGATGTCCAAGCCTCAACTTGGGCCAGGGCCTTCTCTGTCCTGGCCACTACCTGGTGGAACATGCTCCCACTTGAGATCAGAGCCTGCAAAACGGAGCTGTTCCGCCAGGCAAGAGTGTTCCATCTTTAGTTGAGGTGGAGGACACCCCACTATCTGACCTCCCTGTACAGAGTTCATACAGAGCCTGCCCTGTCTAGAGGTGGTCTGGATCATCTACCTATGGAGTCTTGGGATGATGTAAAGGTGACTCTAGTATCATCTATTCAGTTTCTTGGGGGGTTGAATTATTGCTCATCATCTTTTAACTGTTTAACTGTTTCTGGTTTTAGTTGTTTTTAGATTAATCATGTTAACTAATTTTTATTGCTATATGCCTTGGTGTTACCTGCCCTGAGCCTGTTTGGGAAGGGCAGGATATAAATTTAAAAAATAAATTAATATCTCTCAGATTGGAACACAGAGGATGTTAACAGGGTACACAAACTACTTTCTGGTTAAAAAGGTTTCCCTTGCTCGAAAGCTAGTCGAATCTGACTCTAGGAGGCAGTGCTCATCTCCATTTCCAATCCGAAGAGCCAGCGCTGTCTGAAGACGTTTCTGTGGTCATGTGGCTGGCGTGTCTAAACGCCGAGGCGCATGGAATGCTGTTCCTTCCCACCGAAGCAGTACCTATTTATCTACTTGCAATTTCTTGCTTTTGAACTGCTAGGTTGGCAGGCGCTGGAACCAGAGATGGGCGTTCACTCCATCACATGGCACTAGGGTCTCAAACTGCCGAACTACAGACCTTCTGGTCTGCAGCTCAGCATTTTAACCTCTGAGCCACCACAGCTTCAAGTTCTGGTTACAGGACTATAAAAGTTAAGGCTGAGAGTTTAAGAACATAAGAGAAGCCAATGTTGGATCAGGCCAATGGCCCATCTAGTCCAACTCTGTCACACAGTGGCCAAAAATACCAGAGACACACGGCAGTGATATTTAAAGAAACTTTGGGAGGAGCTGAGGCTCCAGCTGCCATCAGGCTTGGGCAGAGATGACACATAATGTGAATAGGTGTGCAAGAGCTGGGGCGGGGAGACAGGAAAAATGATTAATATGTATGTTTGGTCACCTTCGTTAGAAATATTGCTTTGCAATGACCATTGGTTTGAAACCTATAAATTGAACTGAAATGGGAGGGCAGAGGCAAGTAAATGTGTAGAAGCTGGGTGTGAAGAAGCAGGAGCCAGTGGGAAATATTGCTTGGCATAGCTTTTAGCCCCATCCCAAGTGCAACAGAATTATACAAGATAAAAGGTTCAATTTTTAATATAAATGGCAAAAACTGGGTCTCAGGTTCTCACATCAGACTTCATATAAGGCTTGTGAACAGACACTGGACTGCTCCTTTGGAGCACACAAGAACTGCCCACAGGTGACCAGGTAGAGAAGCATTTGCAAAAGCTGGTTAACATGGGGGATTTTTGGACTCAAAGGCCTTATGTAGGACCGTGTGGACAAGCAAGAACTTACCTGCACAGCTGCTAAATTTAGCAGGGAATGAGGGGTGTGTTTGACCAGGCACAGAGGAGTAAGGGTCCCACCAGGAGCTGAATGTCAAGTCACCATCTGCATGTTCATAACCACTAGCTTACCATTTCAAGTCACATTTTATACCACACACTCCTCACAGAGGCAGCTTTTTACACACTGAAATTTTAAAAAAGTCTCTAAGAGGACAAGGCACAGAGTACCAAAGGAAAGGCAATATGACTTTTCCTGAATACATTAGACAGAACAAAACTCAGTGGGCACATTTTTAAAAAAGGTGATTTAGCTGAAAAGTTAACAAATGGAATGAGTGTTGCAAACAGGCACATACACCATTATAATTAAGGCTCACTGCAAGTGCCCACATTAGCTTAATCAACAGCAGATGTTCACATCTGCTTCAACTTGCCTGCCTTTGGCCAACGTCACATTACCAGCCAAACATACATGATGTCTGGTAGGTCCCAGTATCAGATTGCCCTTCTCCAGGGAATCAGCAGCTAATGATGTTCTGGAAGAAGAAGAAGAAGACACACGCACCATGCGCTATTTTTACTGTTGAATTCCTGAATTCAGACTCCAGACAACTCCGCTGTATGCAATATGAGCCCTGAGTACCCCCCTCCCAAAGAATCTCAGATTAAGGCAGGGAATCTTTCACAGGCAGGAGACGCTCATCTTCTTGAAGAAGCATTCTTGCCGGGAGGCTCAAGCCTGCCAAAACACTGCAAAGATGCTTTTAACTATAACATAAAGAGTACTGAGGCTGGGGAGAGGATAAGCATAGCAGTGATTGATACTAGAGGTACCTAAAGTTCCCCTACCCACTTCTGAAATTAGGGAAGTTCTCAAAAATTCGTCATAATCAGAATCAGACAGAACCATTTGCATTTCGGATTTAACAACACCCCCCCCCCAAAAAAAAAAACCCTCAGGAAAAAGTAGCCCCATTTCTACTAAAGAGCTGGAAAACCCAGACAAATCATATGGAAGGCCATGTGGTTTTGTTTTACAATGTTTTGTATAGTGGCTGGATTGAGGGGGGTAGATGGGTTGCAAGCTACCATAGATTGCCTGGGAAAGACAGGATAAGATTTTTTTAAAAAGTAGTTTCAATACATTGCTCTTTGAATGTTTTGTTCAAGTTGTGAGCAGGCCCCATAATTACCCATATCCATTTTGCATGTGTTCTGTGGATATGCTGATTTTGTATACTTTCTATTGACTGTGGGTCGAGACAGAAAGGCAGACCTGATGGCAATGCTATTTCTGTACTGGATCTGCATGATCTAGGGAAGTGAAACAACTGAAAGTGTGTTAGTGCTTTCTATCTAGATTGGATTGGGGGGGGGGAGAGACATGAAGCTTATGATCACAGCATATCAGAAAGACAGAATGAAAAAAGTGTGTGTGTAGGAGAGAGAAGTTGCATTCAAGGCTAGGATTAACCTCTCCACTACAGATGCCACAGAGAAAAGTTGAAGATTCTAGAATATACCTGGTTTGCTTCACTGGAGCTTTAAGGAAGCCATCTACCCTGTCAGACTGCTGTAAACTTATAGAGCAAAAAGGTTTCCCCCAACACCTGCTACCTGCAAGATCCTGAGATGCCAGTTCCCTTGAACTGGGGACTCTGTGCTCTGTCACAAAGCAATGACCCTTTCCCCAAAGGAACTGTATTGCCCTGTGCTGAAGCCACTGGTACATCTAACACCGACCACTTTTATTTTTCCTTGTGTGTTTCAGAAACACACATATACACACAGGACAGGGACAATTCAAGCAAGAATATATTTTTAATTTTCAAGTATGGATATCATCCAATACACACCAGCAAACAGTAATTTATATTAGACAAAAAACTTCTTATTGTTTGAAGGCCCTCCCCCACTTTTTAATTTTGCTTTTACCAGTTCCAGAAAAATAGCCGGCTGCCATATGGAGCGGGTTTCAGCTCGCCTTCAACTGGTGGGTTTGGTGGTGGTCTTGGCCTGGAATGATAGGGATTCTCAGGGATAGGCCGGTCAGTCTTCACTTTGGTGACCTGGAACAGGGAAAACCATACTGGATTTGTCTTGTTAGACAAAAAAACCTGGGGTGACAGCTTTGCAATAGAGAGCCAAACCACCCAATTTGCACAACATATCACATTCCTTTATCAAATAAAGTATTTGTCATTCACTCTAAAAAAAACTTGTGGTACTTCACACCACCAATAAATACATTTCAATTACTAAAAGACAGAAAAGCACATACCGCATGGAACAAAAGACAAAAGCAACAGCAAAATACCATAAACAATAGGAGCAGCAGGTTAATACAAGGGCAGAAAAGCAAGCTTATCCGGGAGAAAGAGAGAGAGAGCTGCTCAACAGAATGTGCCAAAGAATATTTTTTTCCCCATCTAATAGCAAACAGCTAGACGGCCAGGCAAACGGCTAGAGAGAGGACACTCCCTAACTGAGGGCCCCGTCTCTGGTTGCCCATCATCACACCTCTGAAAGTGTAAGCACATGGAGCAGGGCTTCTGCTACCCATCTCAACAGACACACTACGTGATACAAAGTCAGACCACTGGTCCTATTCTTTCCAGAAGCAGCCTTTCGAAGGTCTGCGGCAGAAGGCCTGTTCAGCCTTTCTACCCCAGATCATTTTAACCAAGATGCTGGGGACTAAATCCTACACGCAAGGCATATATTCTACCACTGAGCCACGATTGTGTGTAGTATGCATTGATTTATATGGGTTCAAATTTCATAGTACAGCTGAAACTGGGTCCACAGTTAACAGTGTTAAAACTGGAAGGGACCTCAGAGGTCATCTAGTTCAATCCCTGTTCAGTGCAGGAATACTCAGCTACAGATAGCGACAGTATCCCCAACAGATGGCCATATGTTTGAGAGTCTCAGATGAGTAGAAAAATCTGACAAGGGATAGCCGTACCGCTTTCCACTTATCACTCAAGACACGAAGACCGCCTCACCTACAGACAGCACATTAGTATACCAAAAACTCGGCAGGCTATGGGAAATGTTTCTCTCTCACACACATCACATCCTCAGATTAGGTAGCCCACAGTGGCAGCCAGGAACATATTCATGCTTTCATATTACATAAATGAAGCTGTCTCTTCTTCATTGTTCATCAGTATAGGCTGATGAGCAGGTACTTACATGCACATCAGAACTGTGAATTAAACCCAAACACAAAACCACCTAATAAAATTAATGTGCCATTAACACATCAAGGATCTTCTACACAAATACCCCTGGGTCTGGAAATACAGCCAAGAATACGGCTGTGCCAGATTTTAACAGTAAAAAGGAAGTAAACAGCATGTCACCTAGCCCACTGAAGCCTGGAGTTTCTTGCACTGGAAATAATGCAAAAAATAATATAGCTAAGGTTTTGAACACAGTGAAGGTCTGTTAGCAATCATCTAGGTGGATAGAACCTAAATTCAGCTATTCATGAGGGGGAGCTTCCAAGATTCTGCTTCAAACACACACCTGCCAGACCAGAGCAAGCCCAGCTCCAGTTCTCTGCCTACAAGAGTTCCGCAGTGGTTCACGTGGCAAACACCAAGGAGGCAATGAAAGGCAGTGGGAATCTGAGCACGGAGGAAGGCTCGCTTGGATTTCTCTCTGCATGTGCTCTGAACTAAACAGAATAAACAGAATATACATACAACAGGCAGGAGAAGATTCAAGAAGAGCCAGGTTTTGAGAGGCAGAGACAGGCCAGTAGCCAGGATTTTGTGGCTTGTGGGGGATTTTTTTTTTGGTGGGGCTTGAATTTTACAAATATATACACACACAGCTCTCTGAAACCTCCTCACCCCACCACTCCTTGGCTGTAATTTTCTCTTTAAAAAGCTTTTACAGGATAAAATCTTGTGGGGCTGTCCCTTTAAGATAGGGGACAGAGCCCCAAATAGCCCCACCATAGCTATGGGCCAGGGCAAAGATACCTTATGCCCTATACCATTGGCAGCCAAGGTTTATGGCAAGCATGCCATGAGTTCAAAAAGTATAAGTACCACACACGTATCTTCCCCTCTCCCCAGGGCTTGGTATGGCTCTTCTAGTCTGCTGCCTTTGTAGTTCTATACTGCTTTAAATCAATTGAGCTTAAAGCAACAGAGGCAAAAAAGAGGCATATACATTTTAAAAAGAAATCAATTGTACAAAGCAGCACAACACAGGAAATGCAGACAAGCTCTGGGCCATCCTACACTTGTCCAGAAGCACCATGATACTCCACTGGCAGAGCCATCTGTGGCACAGACTAGCCACTCACGTTCCATAAAATCTTAGCAAGAACTAGAAAAGGTGGCTACTGCAAACAGAATGCAGGCTGCAGCACACAAACATGCAGCTGACCCAATATATAGACACCCACCAGGAACCAGAAGCCACTCTCCATTGCAAGCTCTAGAAGTTCATCTTCACTTTAAGACAAGCCACACACAGGCCCTCAGATGACAGGAAGGGGCTTCTTGTGTGTAGGTGCAAAATTTGTCAACACAAGACTCCTGCATGCAAATGTCTAATATTTTCACATTTTAGGAGGTCTCAGGTATTTTACCATGCCTAAGTCTACCCAAAGGATCAGCTGACAACAATACAGTCCTCAGCTAAGGGACAAGCATATCAAGAGGGGGAAAAGGGAACAGAGCTACATGCTTTATGGTACAAAGAGGAAAACTGCAAAATAAAATAGATGATGAGCATTCAGTTACCTTAGACAGCTGACCTAAATCAGGTCTCACCCAGCCCAAGTTCTCCAGCACACAGTCATCAAAGACTTTCTGCTGTTTTCGGCAATGGCGAAGCTCCAATAAGTCGTTATAATCAACGCAGGTCCAGTACTGAGTAAAGGGTTCTGCACAGTGCAACTTGATCTTCCTGTGAAAACAGCAAGAGGCTGCATCAGTCTTGTATGAGGATATGAGAAGCACTGATTTGTTGTTCACAGGAGTTCAAAATGCACGGTCTACTACAACTATGGCTATCCAACCTGCAAGACAGATCAGAGAGCACTCCTGGGTTCAAATTCCTTGCCTTAAGCAAGTCAACCGCTCTCATAGGACTCTGATGCCTCAGTTTTTTCTGTTCACTGTTCTTATTTACAATGGAAAAATCAAGTTCACACTCCGTTATTTTGCCATGACACTTGTATACGCATATCTACCAGACTCATCCCAGCACTAAACAAGACCACAACTGCAACAGCAGCTTCTGAGAATTGAGCAAGACCTGATTTTTGTTAGTTTTGGTGCTGCTAAATTTTCTTAACTTTACTGATTACTGACTGAACAGAATTGTTCTAGTGTTATTACTACTGCAATATTCTAATTTAAATAACATTTACTTTATTGGTTTTAATGCACTGCAGTGTTTATGCCTTTGTTTTATTGCAAGCCACATCGGGCATTTGGAAAAGCAACTAGCAAACTTTTTAAATCAAAAAAGTTCAGTCCAAAGAAAAGACGAATGACTAGAATAACTAGAAACCTCCCCCTAACATGAAGCTTGGTTTTCTCTATTCTGGGCTTTATGACCTGAGTGTCTATGGATAGTTCTATGTTTTTTTGTGTTTTGATGTTTTTACATCCCTATTAGCCTTTATTGTTGGTTTTATTCATGACATTTACTGTCTGCTTTTCTCACTGGATTTTTAAATTGTTGCATTGCATTTTTATGCTGTTAGCATTCTGCTGTTTTAATTGGCTTAGCGTTATGTCTCAAGAATGTTCTTTTGAGAGAGCAGGCCAATTTTTTTAATGCACTTTTGTTACAGCTCCATGAGGCCATGATCTTTGCACACTTCAGTGGGAGTAGCCCCACTGAACTCAATGGGACTTTACTTAGAATCATAGAGTTGGACAGACCTCCAGGGTCATCTAGTTCAACCTCCTGCACAATGCAGGAAATTCACAACTACCTCCCCCCTACACAGTGACCCCTGCTCCATGCCCAGAAGATGGCAAAGGAAAAAACCTACCAGGATCCCTGGCCAAACTTGCCTACTCTTGCCTAATGTGAAGTGGTAATCAGTTCTAAAATATCCTTCCTGGCCTTGCAATGTGCCATTTTGCCGACTGCTCAGGGCAACAGACACATTACATAGCGGGGGCCAGAAACTGACCAGCAGGTCAAAGCAAACAGGCACAGCGTTGCACTAGGAAAGACATACCTGAAGAATTCCAGGGCACATTTGTTGACTTCTTTGCCTTCGTTCAAGCACTTCCGTGGGTCCTTCTCCTCCCAGCGGCAGAGCATGAATTCCTTGTTGGGTTTGTCACACTGAGAACCATAATGGTGAGCCGCTGCTTTCAGTACTGCTGAGCTGACTTTCACCTGAGGAGTGAGAAGCAGACAATTTAACAACAAGCCAGGGGGCAAAGAGGACCCTAGCGCTTGCTCTATGAGTCTGCATCACTGAACAGGGCCAAGCTACAGACATACATGCCCCAAACTGAGTCACTTCCACATACACTCAGTTCCCCACCTGTATAACGGGAACAGCAGAAGCCAGACTCATGACAAAATGTGCAATAAAAGCTGAAGAGTACTTTACAAATTACAGAATGTCATATGAACAAATAAGACACAAAGTAATAGCACCCAAATAAACACATGTATTATACAAAAATAATTAAAAATATAAATATACAGTTAATGCAAATGTATAAACATAAACCGAGACATTTACACAGCAGATATTCTCATGCTCTCAAAACCCTCTTGATGCTAACGCAATGTATAGATGCATCTTACTTAAATTAACAAGTACAGAAATAACAGTTGGGGGGGGAGGTAACCCAGAAAAAAACACTTGAATTTGTACATTTGCATTGGGGGGAGGTAGAAAGTGGGGGACGGAAAGTTGCTATGATAATAATTCCAGAGAAGTAGCACTTCAAAAATTAACACATTTATTCCAGCTTTCACAAGATCTGACTTACAAAAAATGGAATCAATCTGATTAATCTTTAAGGTACTATAAGATTCCCATTTAACTAAGAACACCATGAAACTCCCTGGGGACCAATCTCTCTTGCCACCCAAGTTACTTCACAAAGCTCTTGTGAGTATAAAGGGGGGAAAGCAATGTACACTGGACCCACATGCCTCAGATACGAGCAGAATTTAATTATTATAGCACATAATTACTGTACTAGTTAGTACTGTTGCATTAAACCTTCCACATATCAATTTCACAGTATTACATTAGCTGTTACTAATATTATTTATTTACGTTACCTGTCGTTTACCTTTTCTCACTGAGCCTCTAGGCGAATTACATAACATAAGTCAATGCAATCAACAGTATAATATTATCTACACAAAAGGGTAATACAAGACCAATGACCAGAAGGTGGAGAAAGAAACAGAACCACAGGCGCTGATTTTGACCCAGGAGAAGAAAAGACTCTCGAACAACCAGATATGCGAAGAACGGAGACAAGAAGGGGTCCCCCCCTAATCTTAAGCAACTGGGGGGGAAGGACGGAGCAGAAGGGGGCTCTGGTAGAAAGGGGCTAAGCTGGGGGGGTTCCCTTGCCCCCCTAGTGCTGTTCAAGAATGGGGGGGACTCCAGCGCTCCTTCACCTGCGGCACCTCCAGTTCCTCCAGCGGCGGCACCTCCACTATGCCCGGCATGACAGCAACCCTCCCAACCTTAGCGCACCCCCCTCCGGGTGCTTTCCCCTTCACCTCTCCTTCGCCGCCCTCCCTCACAGACTAGGCCACATCACTACTGCGCATGCTCATCCTGTCGCCGGCAGACAATGCACGCATGCGCCCAATAGCCGCTGCCGCTTGGGGGGCGTGCCTGAATGTGTGGAGGGGAGGGTCATCCAATTTCTCGTCCTATCAGCCTCGCTCACTACTCTCCCCCGTGGCGTAGTCCCTTGTTGCCATGGTGACCACCGCTTGCTTGCCGAGGCCTACCTGAGGCAGTCGAACCGTCACGGGTCGCTATGGATTACACGGGCAGCTACTACATGGGGCAGCGCGTCAATGGCAGGTGGGGCAAGAGGGAGAGGGTGGGAGGGCGAGCGAGCTGCAACACCGTTTCTCCACTTGCCCCCTGTGTGAATCCGTATGTGTGGTCGAGGCTTGTGTATTGCAAAGGGGGTAGCGGTGTTATTTTGTTGTGGTAGTAAAATAAAACAGCAGTGTCACTTTAAGTTGTAACAACGTTTATTTCAGGATGAGCTTTGGTGAGTCAGAGCCCACTTCTTCGCGTGGTATGAAGTGAAAATCATTATGGCAGAGGGAATCTTTTCGGGGATTTTTACAGGGAAAATTACAAAAGGAGGGGGAAAGAGAGGAGTTGACAAAATGAGATTTCGTTTGAATCCCGTCCTAAATTTTTCCAGTGTGTGCAAGGGGCTGGAACATCTGTAACACACAATAGATGATAACATTCCTGCGTGATTGAGTGATCAAGCATGTGGATGAGAGTTGAGAGCAGTTAGTGCACACCAGGTTTTTTAAAAGTAGCCAGTTGAAGCATGAATTCTGCATAAGCAAAACACAGATAAATGGGAATAAGAGCTAGAGTTATTGCAGATTACTAAAAAGAAACCAAACAGAATAAACCCTGCTAATTCTAGACTGACCATTGGGTTTACCTTCACATTCTTCCAATGAGAAACGGATACAAGACCGCAGAAATCCCAGCAATGGCTTGACACCAGCTGTAGCCTTTGTTCTTTCATCACCTAGTCCATGTTATATCCAGATATGTCCCAGTCCTATACATACACTGAAAGATTCATGATGAGATTCAAATTAATTTGCTCTGTCTCAACTATTACCTCTTGCCCTCCTTTTGTAATTTTCCCTAAAAATTCCCAAAATAATTCCCCCTGCCTTAGCATGTGAAGAAGTGAGCCGTGATTCACAGTTAAGCTCATGCTGAAATAAATGGTGCTAGTTTTTAAGGTACCACTGGATTTTTGTACAGTCTGAGTCTCCTGTGTCTTAATGCAATCATGTGTGGAAACACAGGTGTGTAACTTATTGCAATTATCTGTATCTGCAAGGGTGAAGCCCATTTCTACAGCATGCAAAAGCCCTTCTGGAATTAGTATTTTTATTACCTGTGTTTTTATTAAATAATAGCCATTCATTAAAATATGAGTATACTACCTTTCCATTGTTACTTAATAATAATTCTTTACACTGTACATATCCTAATTCCTTATGCCGATTATTTGTAGTTGTTGTTGTTGTTGTTAAGGATGCATCTCTCCCACTTGTCATTATTACAGTTATTAACATATCTCACACACACTGCCTTTCCAATTCAGAGGGGCAATTTACAAAAGTTACCAAAACAGAAAAACTATCATCTGTTTAAAAACAGCATACAAGTTTTTAGATAATAGCTGAAAAATAAATAACTCAGAACTCATAGCTGCAAATATGATAATGTTGTTGCATTAACTGTTGCATCTAATGTACATCACTGTCACCACCATTATAGGACTAATGGTAGTAATAACAGTAAATCAAAAAGGAGGGGAAAGACCAGACCAGGGAGCTCATCCCCAAACCAGCAAAGCAGAGAAGCTAAAAGTAGCTCTTTCAAAATGGCACCCACCTATGTCATGTGCTGAAATGCAGTATTATGTCTTGAGTTCAAGGGGAAGTTAGCGGTAGTGACTATCCAAAATATTTTCCATCGCACATTTTGTGGTCCTAGCTTTCAGTCACAGTATGTTAGGGTGCTATAATGTGGATTAAATTTGTATTTACTGGCTGCATTCACACACACTAAATCCACTTTCAATCCACTTTCCAACTGGATTCTACCAGTTCACACAGTAAAATCCAGTTGGAAAATGCACTGAAAGTGGATTGAAAGTGAATTATTTAGTGTGTGTGACCGCAGCTACTGTCACTTAACAAACTATTATTTTATTTGTATAGCAAAATGTTGCTTCTGCATTGTAAGCAGTTTTCCAGGATCCCAGACAGAAAAGTCTTTCCCATTGCTCTAGATCCTATTCACCAGAGATGCCAGGTACCTCAAGCTCCTCCAGAGCTTTCACCTCTCCAGGCACAATGGAATCCTGCCCTGCTACTGCCTCTTCGCCTTCCTCTCCTTCAGATTTTCCTTGTGGACTTTTGCAGATTGGAGGGAAACGGCACTTACACCCTTCCAACAGGAACCAAATATGTTGGTGAGATGAAAGACGGAATGTTTCATGGCAAAGGCACCTTGCATTTCCCCAGTGGGAGCAAATATGAAGGAACTTGGGACTGTGGAATAGCCATAGAGGTACCATCACAAAATCTCTACCACATATAGAAGATGAAAACAGTTATGGTCATAATATGTCAGGACAAGGAGTGAAGGATTCCACTGACCCTCTCTGCCCATTGATTGTTATATGCTGAGAACTGTTGGGTTTGTGGCAGTAATTTGGAGAGAAATAGTGTAAATCCAGTGAAGAAAATAGTGGTGTTGACCTAGGAGATGTGGGTTCAAACCCCTCTTCAGCCACACACTCAGTGGATGGCTGGAGACATGCTGTAGTGCAACGGTTGGCAGACTTATCTATGAGCCAAGAAGTTCCCAGATTAAATCTTCGCTCTTCCATGAACTCAGTGTGTGGCTTTAGGTGGGACACCACTCTTCCATCTGCACTATAATAATCCTGATTTACTGTGCAAGTTGAATAGAAGGATTATGTGAAATGCTTTGGACACTGAAAGATAGAGCCGAACAACATGTGATGCTGATGTTTACTAACAGAAGTTCCAGATGTATTATTTGGCCCTAAAAAACAAACACAGGGAGGAGACATGTGATATGGATCAGAGCCATGGCACTTTGGGAAGAATAGTTAACTCTTCCACTCACACTCTTTCCCCCAGTTGAAAACAGGTCCTCCAAGTAGGGTTTAAAGCAACCCAAGGTGGAAATTGCAAGAAGGGGATTAAATTAAACCCCCTGCCCAGCATCACGCCCAAATCTAGATTGTGCCCTTGCAGCTGTCTTTTAGGGTCAAAAATACATTTTAAGTTTCTGACTTAGAACTCCAGCATCATGTGTGGTTTGGCCCTATATAGCATGGCCTGTGTCCATTCTCCAAGTAGTCTACCTTACCATGTTCTCATGAAAATAAGGAACCTCAGTACTCTCATTGATCCCTAGGTGGGAAATGGGGTTGGTCCTCAAATCTGAACATGATTAATGAACCCCTGTCTTTCCTTGCAGGGGAAATACACCTTTGCGGATGGCTTGGAATACAAAGATGACAAGTGGCATTACTGTGATGGTTATGACAGACGGTTTTATACAGAAATCTGCAATGGCCTGAAGCCAGCAGGTACTCGTGTAGTGACTGTCAGATGGACTCAACCAATCTTGTTCATTGCGAGCGACAACTCTGTAAGGAGCAGAACGCATATGTGTGTGTGTGTGCACAAGTGGATGTGTTTAGTGGATTATGATCAACTTGTTGTTCAGTCACACAGTCGAGTCCGACTCTTTGCGACCCCATGGACCACATCATGCCAGGCCCTCCTGTCTTCTGTTGCCCTCTGGAGTTTGCTTAATTTCATGTTCATTGCATCGATAACACTGTCTAATCCTCTCATGCCATTCCCTTCTTCTTTTACCTTCAGTATTTCCCAGCATCATGGTCTTCTCCAGTGAGTGCTCCCGTCTCATTTGGTGGCCATAGTATTTGAGCTTCAGCTTCAGTATCTGGCCTTCCAGGGAACAGTCAGGGTTGATTTCAATAAGTACAACCAGTGTATAAACACAGCCACTAAAAACTCCAAAACAGTGTGGCAGCTAAACACAATTTAGGAGCCAGAAACAAAACAGTCAGTGGTGTACTAACAAGCAGCTGTCAAAGGCCTTTTGAAGTAAGCATTTTTACTTTCTGGCAGAAGGCAAAATGGGCTGCTCAGTAGCCTCAAAAGATAACTGATAGGCCTCTTTGGACCCTCTGAGCCTCTCTGTTGTTGTTTTTGTATTTCAAGGCATTTCTCAGCTTACAAACTTGGATCCTCCTCGGCCCATCCCAGATGGCTGCTATGACTGTGGCGATGGTTTCTACAATCCTGAAACCAGAGTGGTGGTCGATTATAAACACCGGTTTCTAAGGAATGCAGGTACAATTCTGTCTGTTGGATCAGTTGTACAATAAGGCATGTGTTTACCTTGGAATTATAACCTTCTGGTTGAATGAGAACTTCCTTTGTTGGCTTCTCTAAGACCCAGTTATTTACTCTATGCTCTGTGATAATTTATTTGAAATTAACCCAAAAGCAGTGACAAACTGGATATATTATATACACCTGCCTCACAGGGTGTTTGTTGTGGGGAGAGAAAGGGAGGGTGATTGTAAGCCACTCTGAGACTCCTTCAGGCAGTGAAGGGTGGGGTATAAAACTAACTCTTCTTCTTCTTCTTTGAGCAGTGTAAATGAGGTTATTAATCTTCACAACAACAGTGTGAGGTTGGTTTGTTTAGGAATTTACATTGTGCCTCTCCAGAGGTCTCCTGGAAGCAGCTCACAAAGTAAAAACAACACAAGAATAAAATTATAAAAATAACAAACATAAAAATGTGAATATTAAAACAAGCCATACAGTGCCATAAAACAGATAAAGAGTTGGAGGCATAGAAGAAGCATAAAACAATATTCAGCATCTTAAAATGTTATCCACAAAACAACCATCAGACTAGAAACAGGTCATAAAAACAACCATTAAAAAGATGGAAGTGTTCCATTAAAATCATGATTTAAAAGGAATATTTTGGTCTGGTGCCTAAAAGGCAATAAAATCAGTGCCGTTCAGGCTTTGAGGGGTTACATTCCAAAGTTGAGAGGTAACCGATGAAAAAGCCCTGTCACTTGTTGCCATCTCTCTGCAGATGAGTTGGACAGTATGGGAGAATGTAGTGCTTCAGTAGCCTTGCCCCAAGTTCTTTAGAGTTTTAAAGATAACAACCAGCACTTTGAATTTTGCCTGGAAACAAATGGGCAACAAGAAAACATTTTTCAGTGTAGGGATGATATGATGCCCATCGCAAACCCATGGTCATATCTTAGCAGTTAAGACCAACTAAAGTTTCCAGTCAGTTTTCAAAGGCAGTCTTATATAAAGTATAGTATAGATAATCTAATGTGGATATAATCAGAGTACATGAAACTGCCTTACACCAAATCAGACCATTGGTCTGTTAACTCTGACTGACTGCAACTGGCAGAGGTTTTGCACATTGCCTAGTACCTGATCCTTTTGACTGGAAATATTGGAAATTGAACCTGGGACCATTTGTGTGCAAAGCAGATGCTCTGTCAGTGACCCACAGCCTCTCCCTGTTCACATGGATCTCTGTGGCCAGATCAAACTTTTTGAGGAATGTCCATATCTGGCATGTTTGCTGAAGGTGAAAAAATGGCACTATATGTAATGGAACAGACCAGAGCATCCTCAGGATCCAGAATGCAATCTCCTCCAGAACAGGCTGATTTCAGTCCTTGAGCAGATTTGTCATTGAGTGTAACTGCCCAGTCTATCAGGGAACAGACTGATACTGCTGATGGGGTGAGCAGCACCAGTAAACCATTGGCACAGCTCGACTTCAGTGGAGCACACCCACTCATACACCCTAATAGGAGCAGTTGCCAAATCAGAAGGCTTGGCCCACAGAGATGGCTGCGTGGTCAGACAGGAGTAGCCAGACACTGGGCAACTTGGGCAGAGTTGGTTGGTTGGCTGCCTCCAGCCAATTTCCCAAGCAGGAGAGCCAGTTTGGTGTAGTGGTTAAGTGCGCGGACTCTAATCTGGGAGAACTGGGTTTGATTCCCCACTCCTCCACTTGCATCTGCTGGATGACCTTGGGCAAGCCATAGTTCTGTCAGAGCTGTCCTTGAAAGAGCAGTTCTCGAAAGAGCTCTCTCAGCCCCACCTACTTCACAGGGTGTCTGGTGTGGGGAAGGGAAGGGAAAGGAGTTTGTAAGCCGCTCTGAGACACCTTTGGGTAGTGAAGGGCAGGGTATAAATCCAATCTCTTCTCTTCTTCTCTTCTTCTTCTCTTCAGGATGGCCATATAAGGGGGGGGCACAGTCAAGCAGGGGATACATCTGCTGTGGAAGGTGAAGAGCCAGGTTTGAGTTATCAGCCATTAACCTAGAGAGAAAGCCAAGATATCCTCAACTCCTGCCCTGGAAAAATAGCCCTATGGGGGCATGCCTTGAAGGAGGGGATGCTTCAGAGCCTGGAGTGGGACCAACATAGAGTGCTGTTCCCACCCTGAAGGAAGGAGTGAGGATTGCAAAATGAATTCCATGGCAATGTACATTGCACATATCCATGAATTTGTTAAACAAACCGAAACTGCTAAGGCATTACCCTGCCTCTTCAGTGGAATGTTTGAGCAAGGTTATGATGTCCTCCCGCCCTCAGGGACTGCCGTGTTGACAAACAGAACACTTCAAACTTGTCTGGACTGAGCCTCCATTTAGTGGTCCTCATCCATCCCATTACCGTCTCCAGATATTTGTTAAGGAACTCAACAGACCCACTAGACTCAGCTGTTAGGGAGAAACAGAGCTGGGTGTCATCCATATTTTGATGACACCTCATTCCAGTTACCTGGATGGTTTTTGCCTGTCGTTTCATGTAGATGTTAAATAGCATGGGGGATAAGACGGACCCCACAGCATAAATGTCATAGCACCAAGCAACAGTTCCCTGGCATCACCTTCATGAACCAGCCAGCCAGGTGGATGGGGATTCATTGAAGAGTGCTCCTCAATTCCAACTCAGCCAGCCTCTACTGAAGGATACCATAGCAAATAGTAATTGAAAGCTCATAAGAGGTAAAAAAATATATTAACAGGAACACACTCTCCTGACAAATTTTGTCAGGACAGCTGAAGCCATTTCCAGCCTGAATCTTTATTGAAACGGGTCTAGATAATCCTTCTCCTCTAAGATCACCTGAAGATGCATAGCTTAAATACTTTGCCAAAAAATGGCATATTGGCCACTGGGAGGTATCCATTTAGGTCACTCAGGTCCATAGATCACTTCTTCAGGAAGGGTCTCACAGAATCTTCTTTCAAACCAGTCGCTCCGAACTGCACCCTCCTGCATTTATTACCCCCTGGACACACTTGATCAGGAAGCAAGGGTAGAGGCTGGATGCGAGGTTTGGCTGAGAGCATAAAACTATCCCAAAGATCACCCCCATGAGTTGTGTAACTATTCAAAGTTTGGAACCTGAGCTTCCATCCACTGCACCATACTGATTCTTAGAAGCATTAGTATTGTGGGGGGTGAAGGTTAGTCAGCACACTATAGATACCATCTGCTACAAAGTCCACCTTGCTTCAAAATATTAAACAAAATGATCTGCCACAAATAGCTACTCATGGCACAGACCCAGGTCAATGGAATGCAGCAACTTTGCTGATGAGTGTGATAAGCACACGCTTTCCAGAAACACAGGAACCCAGACAGATCAGCCCAGGCAGGAACGCCTAGGAATTCCAGTTTCTTTTCTCTTTTTTACTTGCGCTTTGAACTCTCCTTTGTTATATTTTATTACTATAAACTTACCACTAGTATCAGCCCCTATTAAATTGCCCATTGTATATATCCCATTCTGCAAAACAATTGTTAGTTGAATGTGCAAGAGGGGCCTTTTGCCCCCGGCTCCTTCTCTGCACAGGTTACTTTTGAGGACATGGGTGTGAAGAAGGGATGTAGCTTAGGAGTCCATCCCTTCCTTTAAGGGCACTGACACAATTGAAAGAGCCAGGGCTTGCATGACATCAGAGAAACTTCAGGAGCCCCAAGAGAAGTCGTTCAAGGCACAAGGCTACAGAGGTGACAAAATGCACTGGTAAATAGTCGAGCTGTGTGCAAAAGAAGCCAAGAAAGGGAGCTGGTAGGAGGGGGAACAAGTCCAGGGCTGCTCCTTTACAGGAAAGCTTGCTGGGCTTCTGGCCAACTCTTGGGAGCATCAAAAGCAGATGGCAGGAAGCATTGCAAAACCTCGGGCAAGAGCCAAGCAGGTTGGCTGAAATGATACCTTCTTCCTCAAGAGCCAGGTTTGAGGGGACATTTCTCATCCTCTGGGGATGCTTACTTCACTACAAAGACATTCGTTTTCACTGCATCTGTCTCTATTCCTGTTACTTTCCCTTATTTCTATGAATATAAGGAATGGGGCTTTTTCAGTTCATTGGAAACACCTCCCTGTTAGCCTCTCTCTCCAGTTTTTGTTTTCCCTTGACATTACAGAGCTTATTGCAAAATTGAGAAAGGAGGTCCTGCAGTTTGCTATATATTTGTCCAAAATATGGTGAATTTGATTTATATGTGTAAGTACCAACAGTTCCAGATAAGTTTTATGAACGTCCATAAATAAGTATATACATTTCCAGTTTTCAATCACATTGCATTGAATTCTGACAATCACATTGAGCTGACTGTCAACATTCCTTCTGAGTTTTCAGTCATGGGTCATTCAGTTAGGTGTCTTCAGATATATTACTAACATTCACTGTAGCATATACACAAACAGGCACTTTCATGTAGCTAAAAACCGGCCTCTGTTATCTGAATGGCCATGATGTCATGGAATATTCACAAACATTTCATATGCTCAGAAAGAACAAAGGACAGGGTGGGTGGTGTTCTGTTGGCAGGAATGGGATCAGATAGAATCTGTGATGCTAAACAGGTGAAGAGGTTGAGATATTTGAAGCTGAACGTGAGGAAAGCATTAGACAGAGGCAAGCTAAGTGGCAAAAATGTTTGTTGACATGGTGGCTGAAGGGGGAGAACAGTAGGCAGCAGGCTGAAGAGCCCCTGAGCAGCATAAGGGGCATAGGCAGATGGCAGAAGGAAGGGCAAGAGGAGTTGGGTTGAGGGACTGTGGAGAGTCAGTGAGGAGAAAGTGGTATCGAAAACCTCAACCAAACCTGAGGGACCTATAAGCCACACTCCCAAGGTTGTATAAGCACCATTCCCTTGTGGCTCCTTCCTCACTCCTGCCTTATCCGTTGAATTGGGTTTTGCTGTAGCCGTCTGGGACAACGACTGTCATCGCAGTGCCACAGCGTGCGATGCCAAGGCCGGCTCCTCATCTC